ACTTGAGGTAATTCTAATGAGGAAATGGAGCCGTGCCGTCCACTGCTTCCGCATTGATCTCCGTTACATCGCTCGTTTACCATATCCATCTTCTTACTTTTGGTAGTCAGAAACGGCCTACTGAATAAATGATACAACCATGTTCTATCGAGTGTTGCATTGAGCCTTTAACCAATTCTATCCTTTTGTCCCTCCTTCTGAGCACTAGAGGACTATCATTGTTCAGCGTACTTTACCCTGCCCTGTCTGAGATGCATTTCGCATTACAGTACGACGTTCAACTCCAAGTGATCCGCTAACCATTCAGGAGCCCTCTGAAGCCGTAGGGATTTACTTGTTCACCCCAAATCCTGCTACTTACATTCACAAATAATTACGATTTGGCCTACTTTCGAGTCCCGGTAACATGCTATTGCGCGACTTAAGACGTGCTCCTTTTTACTAACGGAGAACTGACTCCTTCGTCCCATTTCATTAAGAAAGTAATTGTTTCTGTACCGACAGTTCATACCAGTAGTTTTCTCCGTAGGGTCGAAGCAGAATGTATTTCTTCGAATCTACTAACTAATTGCTATACTCACTCGTTCTATGTAATTGTATAATACATTGATCGGCATGCACCGAAGCCGGATATGGTTGGGGTTTCACCACCCACTGGTTTGTATGTGTCCGCCTATTTAATTTTGTAGCCTACACTGAAGTTCAGTTCTAGACATCCCCTCATCTGACTTTTGTGTTCATCTTTCCCTTCGTGTAAAGTTGTACCTCGATAGGCACAGGGTCGCAGCCAAGTTGACACATTGATAGTTAGTTGCACATGCGACCCAGTGATGCGTGACCTCCATGGGTAAGCCGGTGTAAACAATTGGTTCTAGCAAGTCTGAAGACATCTGCATCCAATTCTCTGGTCGTTAGTATTTTTGTAATTCACATAGGGATACATTGCATACGTTAACCCAGCCGACTAGACGTATCGCAGGAGACTGTCAATTAGCCCACTGTAAAAGGAGGTTCTGTGGCGTTTTTATTAAAGAATTATCTGATAACTTTTACAGATCTATGTTACCTGGGGAATCACTTGTAGACTAAGTACACCGGATCAACATCGTTCACACCAAGTTAAACGTGCGTTTGTTTGGCCACCTTCCATCTCGAGTAGTTTCTCTCCATGTACCGTTAGATTGTCCACGGGCATGTTCAATTAGAAGGAAAGGGAAGTTAATTTCAGCTCGTCTGTGCACCTCGCAATTATTGGTCACGACCGACTTGACTAAGAATCATTTCGAACCAGCATTCGGAGGGCAGATCGACGTCGACATCTGCAGATTCCAAGGCCATAACAGACCTGACACACGAAAAGCAAATTCAGACTTATCACAATATATGCTCACTGATACAATTACAGCCGATCCGAAGAGACAACATTACATCCAACGCAATATCAGTGTGGATTAGAAAGGGAATCTGGAAACAGCCACCTCTAAATACGTTAATATTTGACCATTTCACCTACCAACTGTCTGTCTGTCTCAGTGAATGTGTCGAGGTATTGGGTTAATGCTCCTCACAGCTGCCGCTTGCATGACAAGCGTCTAACTCACCCACGCTCTAGGCACTTTCGTTCGCCTAGGCGTTCAGTTCACTTCGGCGGATAAGTTCATGCCACAAAAAATGGTTAATCAAAAAGGCGATAAAAATACTTACTATTAACTCAGCAGCAGCGGATGAACGAAAAGTAAAAGATGGTCAACTGAAAGATTTAAGTCAGAAATGAGGGAACAAATGTGCTAGTCCCACCATCTGAGCAGTGAATACTGAGACCTGCCATCCGCCGACCCACTCAAACTTTGAGTTTCTCAGTGTTCCTCGCCACTTTAAACTAACGGTTGGGCAATCAGTTGGTGGGCATGCAAGCGGTAGGGTCTGGTCAATGTAGACGGTTCTCGTTCGAGTAAAACTCCAACATGGCACCCGGCAGTCTGTCACCAAACCTAACTGACGAAATTCGGCGTTATGTATTTGATGCCTCGCCTAACTGACCAGTGTTGTAAGTGTGTAAAGCCTAACATTCATAGTAGGTATCTGTGGTCGAGCACGATTAGTTTCTTCATGTCTTCAGTGAGCAGCGATTTCATTCCAGATCTATAGCGTAGTACCGGCATCCCTTACCATTAAACTTCTTCCTTACTGTCTACCTGAGTGGTAGAGGCTTTGGAAAGCCCCAACAAGGTGTACACCAGTCACATCGACTGGTAGTCCAGCGACTTTGGCAACAGGCGGTGTGGCGATCCACTCTTGTGGGTTTGCGCTTCAGAGGTGCGATGGCGGATTCAAAGTGGTCTCACCATTACCGGTGGCCAACCATCATTCTTCTCCAACAAAGGGGCTTAACGTTAGTTTTTGTTTGCGCGCATTCTACTTGTCCATGCTCACTTGGTCATAGTGTATAAGCTTTTACGTTTCGGTTTGATACGATCAACAGACTTGTAGTGTTTCAGCAGCATACAGCCCATTTTATACATGTTACCCCTGTCGATCAGTTCTGTGTCTTTCACCATGCTATCAACAGGTGCTAAACCCTATCGCGACTCATAGGGAATCCTTCTGTTGTTTGACATCATACTCCCGAGAGAGTGAAATGACAAATGGCTTCTGCGACCATCTTTCGATGGTGCGGATATCTGAGAAGCATGCTGGTCACCATCCACTGCGAAGTACCAGGCAGACTGGATTGAAACAGGGGCAAGTTCGCTCGTTGGTTTATCGAAGGCTTAAGTACCCACTGACTGCGCACTGTAAATCCTTCTGGAGGTATGCTTTGTGCGAACAGCCACAGTGTTGGACATGCAGATGGATCATTGTAGGTAGTGCTCCAGATGACATGAATAAAAGCGGCTCGAACCAGTTGTGTCTTCCATAGATACACCCACTGCTTGTCCCAGATGCGGTCAGAAGCTTGCTTTATATGTGGCAGTCAAATTCTATTTATATCTTTCGAGTGATTCCACGGATGTTTGAATTAGCGTTCAGGGTTCTCGGTTTAGATGCTAGTCCCTGAGTCATTCTGCTATACATTGGTTTTTGTTTTAGTAAACAGAGCGTCTACACCCTCCGTCGGTCTAATGATGACGAACCGCGGTCGTCACGCTCGGGCGCGTGTGGTGCCCACATTCAGGAGTTCAATTCAGTTCAACAACAGGTTCGGGTACCAAATTGCGGTGGGTCCAGTTGCCACGGCTTGCGTCACTAGGATGAAACTAATGAAAAACGGGACCCAGAACTCAAAGACAATGTAAAGAAACCGGAGTTAAGAAAGTAGTGCGCACAATCGACCCGGGATGGAATAATATTACTAGCTAGGTGCAAGAAACCGATTGCAGGGGCGGCACTTACTCTGCTCCTTCAATATACGGATGGGACCTCCAGCCACTGAATGGCCCCTTTCACAAAGACTTCACGCACCAGGCTGGCCGGGTCTCTCAGTCAGTTTCTTCATGCTTTTATGTTATGTCGTCCGCTGCGACCTAGCGGTCTCACCCAACCTGGGGCAGCGACAGCATATGATGCACACCGAGGAAGCTGGTCAACGGACATATGGGGACATGACCCAGCCAACGTAAGCGATTGAGATTCAGCAATTATTCGAGTGAGGCACCAGATTGCACCTTGCCAACAACCAACTGGCGGACCTCAGCATTGCTCAGCCGATGTTCCCAGCAGAAGTGAGTAATACTCCGCAAGCATCGGAGGTCAAACACAGCTGAGCGCTTGATGTCTTTACTACGAACGGGCCATGTCTCTGATCCATACAACAACCCGGGCACTGTCGTAGCGTTATCCACTTCCTTTCACTGGTAGACTGAAATCCCACCGTCTCCAATGGTTGAGTCCTTGAAATGTCACACTGGCCTTGTTAATATGCGAAGGAACTTCCTATGGGGATATGACCGCCAGTGGTGACAGCTATCATCGTGAGTTAACCGATCCACCTCTTCCAGAGGCTGTTCACTGATAATTAAAACCGGTGGTGTATCGGTCCACTTGCACTTTGACGGTACAAAGCGCTTGCAGAAGCATTTAGCCCTACGCGTCTGCCTAATCACTAGGTCTTGCGTAGCCGTTGGGTGCGATTCAAAGAGAGTTATGTCGTCTGTGTAGCCACATTCTAGGGAGCGTGAAAACAGCACCATTTACCATGTCTTTTGACTAATTTATAGACTCATGAAGACAAGGTAAGCATAACTAAATTCTATGTAATTTCGACGAGTAACAACTAAGCTTCGTTACGGCTAAACTCGACCACGAACCACACATTTCAATCACCCATCTGTTGTTTTACAACGTTCAGCTTACCAGTTGCTTCTACTGTTTGTAATTGATAACCGCCGTGAAGTCAATTCTACTTCGAGCACCGATGCTAATGTTGAATCCGACTGATACTTGTCCACCTAAGAGTATCCGGACAGCGTACTTGCCCGTTGTGTTGTTTATCACTTTCCGTCCGACCCGGTTGTTTGACAGCGAGAAATTTTCTCAGCATTAGGAACATCGAAGAAGAAATTCGATTATTTCTTCGTGACTAGTAACCAACCACGCTTGTTGTATACACAAATCAGGAACGACCGTATGGGAAATATCTAAACGCGAGGGCATAAGGACTGAAGCGATGGAGAAGTAGCCAATGAGGTGGGCCGGTGGACGTGTACACGTAACACGGCGTGCTCGAAAGCATACGTTAAATACACTACAAGGGTTACGGGTGGCCACCACCGTATGCGTGGGAGAAACAGTCTTCCTGAAATACGGCGAGTTGAGTAGTGGTATGTTCCATGCACTGTCTGCATATATTGCCCATCCGTAGGTACGAAATTTAACTGGATTTTTGAGCTATACACCGTTGTCTTACACATAAATTTATACCCTGATTCGTTGCATTGCGAATTAGTTTACACATAAGCATTGAGTATCGCTTCTCATCAATGTTTTCTCCCCTTACTCAGCATCGAGAATACCGTTCCGGCATCAGTGTTCGAGCACTCCACAAGGTATCAAAATTTTGTGGCTTGTTTGTTGTCAGCAAACGTATGGGAACTCGATTATTTGGCATTTATCTCTTTATCAAACTTCTTTACTTGACGAATGCGATCGGACAAATCTACATGATGCAGTCCTTTCTCGGGTTCGATACAAAAAATTACTCTTTCTTTGGTTTAACTATCGCCCACGACATACTTATGGGTAAAGATTGGCAAAGGACACTTGTGTTCCCACGAGTTGGATTCTGCCTCGTACCGGTACGGCACATGGCATCGAGCAATTACGCAACCGGCCAGTGTGTGTTACCGGTCAACATGCTCAATGAACGTATTTATATCTTTCTTTGGTTCTGGATCGCTTTAGTCGCCACTATCACGGCTGTGAGTATACCAACATGGTTCATGCGTATGTCATACCAAAAAACGCGGACGCGTTTCATTAAGAAATATTTAAAGCTGGGCGAAGTGCTAACCAAAAAGGACCACGGCATGGTAGAGAAGTTCATGCGTCAGTTTCTACGACACGATGGACTCTTTCTACTGCGGATGATTGCTCTCAATGCAGGGGAACTAATATGTGCCGATATTGTTTGCCAGTTGTGGAAGACTTTTAAAACGAAATACTACTTCCGCGATTTGAATGTAACTGATGAGGAACAGGAAGAAGATCGCCTAAAGAGAGTGAAGGTGTTGCCAGGAGTTGTAACTACACTATCACGTCCATACTCCCGCCAGTCGTCTGCCCCGCCTTCATCTCGAATAGATGAAGAAGCGGTCAAGAAATGTGCCTACGCCTGACGCGGCGATACTCTCAGTGAATCATTGTTCAGACCGGCCTGCTATCAATACCAGATCAAGTGCAATTTGTATTTTTACACCTTTGTTCCATATGACCATATAATTTCGTGGCGTAATATTTTTATGCCCTTTGTATACATATATTATGTGTTGGGTCTGTATATTATTTCCGCTCACAAACCAACAGACACGTGCTACACACACCATCGTTCTTTACACGATTGTCAAGATTCAGGTTTGCTGACAGAGTTTCTCTATTTATTGGGATGTTTGAGCATTTGAAGTCAGCACATTCAGAGCGTGTTGACAGTAATATGTGTGAAAGCGTTGTATTTGGTTAGTGGTGGATGGATGTTATATACCTAATGGCAGAATAGATTAACGCCGTTGTTAGACGGGAAGCCAAGATACCACGGTTGATGTCTCTGCGTCAAGTTGATAAGCAGTTTCGTACCTCCAGCCCCTTCTTGGTCCGTATTCAATAACTCTTCATCTAATTGGAGTATTAAAGCAAAGCAGTATAAGACGATGCAGCTCAACGGTTCGACTGCAAACGCTCCCCGAAGTGAGCACATGGAATGTTGCATCATGTGGCTAACTATCGGAGAAGCACACAGCGTATCGCGCAGCCCGCGCATCCCACTCATATGTACGGCGGTTTGTGTTGAGAGCTCAGAAGTCATGACGGATTTTCGCCACTAATTACTCACCACCGATTGTCAGTACTCCTCAACATTTAGGATAATCAAGTGTGGTTCATCGCAGCCAGTTTCCAAATCAGATAGTCGTCCACATGCCCGGAAAGGACTAGACTGCAGTTTCAGCCTGTTGGGCATCGTAAGTAGTGCGCATCCATCGGATCCATCAGGATTCGAACCCATGACCATCAGCGGCTTGAACCGCCAGTCAGCATCTTATGCCGCTGGGCCACGGGGACAGCTTCATGAGTACATCAAATTATATCCGCCCTGACAGTTTCTTAATACTATGTCGTACATAGATACTGTTAGTGGATGTCGTGTCTTTCGGGGCCCACCCTGTCCTCTGCAACGTTCGTAACTTGCATGGCAGTGGAAGATAAGACACGCTATATCGCAGTTAGCTTCTAAATCATGACGGTCCGAAGCTGTCCCCCGTGGCCCAGTGGCATAAGCTGCTGACTGGCGGTTCAAGCCGCTGGTGGTCATGGGTTCGAATCATCATGGATCCGATGGATGCGCACTACCTACGATGCCCAACAGGCTGAAACTGCAGTCTAGTGCTTTCCGGGAATGTGGACGACTATCTGATTTGGAAACTGGCTACGATGAACCTCACTTAATTACATCAAGATCCCCTATTCATGAGTACATCAAATTTACGATAATCATTTGTTTTTTTTCACTACTCCCAATTCTGGCACTTGATTCGAGCCCATATGACAACTATCCTCCCTGCTTGATCGACGGGCGGTTGATGCTATGTTTTAGGTCATTCCGCTCCGGCTCTTGGCTATTATCCACGGGTTGTGCTCGACAGATGGGTGTCCGCTGGTTTAAATGATGGGAATCAGGCAACCAATAGCGGTGTGCTGACGTCAGCATTCTGCGATAGCGGGCCTGTGGCGACAAATTAATTAAATGAACGAATTAATTTGTGTATTTCTCGACCATTTGTACACCGAAGGGGCGTTGTAGTTGCTGTATATTACGACGTACTAAAATATCATATCTTGAATTTTTTCAGTCTCCCTTTTTGCAGTCTTATATAGTACTTGTTTCACAGATCAATAACCCCAACAGTAGGAATATTTTCTCAGTTATAATCTTTGCATCATAGTTAATATTGGGAGAGGTCAATGATAGGGCGGGGAAGAGTAGGTGGCCCAGTCACAAGTTTCGTTCTCTGGATAATTTGTTTGTATAGTTGTAGCTGTTTACATACTGCATAGGCCAGATTCCGTTAAGGTAGTTAAATATTGCTGTTGGCCAAATCGCTTTAATACATTCGGTGTGTTGATAAAAATAAAGTTGTTTGGAGTGTGGCAAGGCACGCACTAGATTGTTCCTAAAGTGGTAGTTGGTTTCACAGATTGGCAATCTCACTAGCAGAAGATTGGTCGAACTTTATGACTTGAAGGCTGTGAGGGTAGTAATTATCCTTCGATAGGAGTGGAGTAGTTCGCAGTATTGTACCTTTCATGGGCGATGCTGTCTGTGAAGACCCGCTGGTCTATAATATTGAAAAGAAGAAGATTGTTCCTCAATTGTCTCAGCCAAAGGGGATCCAGTCGGAGATAACGACAATAATCATGGTATCTCTGGGTTGAGGAGCCCCCATGTCAATCTTTCTTATTTGGCTATGAATATTGGTGCAGTCCAACCTGCTATGGAGACCACTTTTTGTCGGTCCCTAACGTTTTCTCCTATGAGTACTTTTCCTATGCATGAACCTGTTCGTTGGAACACCTGTCCAAGGAGACCACCTTCTGTCCGCCCCTTGAGTGGTCGCCTTAGAAAGGTTTGAGGGTACAATAATCCACGGGAACATTTACGACGATTTTCCATAGCTCGACTCGTATTTTAGGCAGAGAAATTCCTAGTAATGCATCAGGACAGCTATCTGGCTTTTACGACACGGCAGAACACATGTTCGGAGAAACTGAACGAGTTAATCTACATAGTTCTCAACTTCTGATATGGATGGGATTTGGAGACCACGTTGCCAATGAGAGTGACGGGCCCCCCAGGATGCTGCGTCTGTACCCATATACCTGGAATTTTCTCGCAGCTACTTTCATTGAAATTACTTTACTAAAAGCAGTCATTGTGTATAGTCTTCACGTATTCTTCTCAGGTATAGGTGTAATTGCTCTGGTGGGAGTAAGTAGACCAAGTTGGCGTCATCTGCAAATAGAAATGTGTCCGTGTTTGTTGGCGTATCATACGTCGTTTCTGTAGATTAGGAAAACTTGCAGTCCAAGCACACTTCCCTGAAAGTCACCGTTGATTATCCATTTTAATCTTGTGCACCTCATTGAATCATACAGACTCCTTGGATCTGAGCATATAGGTATGAGTAGAACCAAATTAGCAAAGGGTTTCCAATGCTTTACATGATTCTGGCACGGTTAACAGTAAGTTGTGTGACACGCTGTCGAACGCCTTTTGCATGTCAAATAAATTATGGTGACTACGCTTGCTCTGTCAATCATGGTCGAAGAATTGTAGCTACATGTTGCACAAGAACGTCGTGAAGGAAAGCCATGTTGTGAGTGATTGATCGGGTGCAATCGTGTGAGAATTTGAACAACCCTGGACTTGACTATCCTTTCGTGGGCTTTAGCAGCAGTATTGATATGATTTATCGTATCGTGCGTCGACATCTCTTTTTGTGGGCAGTCATTGTGTTTTAGTATTAATGAGGGTTTCCAATGAGGTGAGAAGCAACCGGTAGTTAGCGATAGTGTGAAGATGTTTAACAACAAAATGGCTCTTTTTGTAGCTGAGTCTTACGACAGTTGATGGGATGCCGTTTGGGTTCGGATGGCCTGACGGGTTTTGGTCTTCGATGGCGCTCCTCACTTCTTTCAATGTCTCAAGGATTTTCAATTCAATTCAACAAAATGCTTTGTGCAATCATAAGCGTGAGTATTCAGCTGTTACACACACACTTTCAGCATAGTAAAAGAAACGTAAGCATTAAATACCTAATTAGAGTAATAAGTGGCATAAACAGCAGTATGTTTATAATGCAAAGTTGCTTTTAACCTCTAGGACAACTGTTGTCTGGTCGCATAAAAAACGTGCCAGTTATGAAATAACGGATGAGTCATAAGCCCTTGTGTGGACAAAAATGGATCTAGACTTTTGTCTAGTTGAGTAGATTGTTACACAGACAATGCGCCATGAAGAGGGTGACTAATATCAGTAGGTATTCTCGAACCAAGCCTTACACATGAATTGATGTGAGTGGACACAAGAATTTCAACAAATCTCGGCTTGAGAATCCTACTACACCGAGTTAGTTGCGTCAGTGACCTAGCTAGGATTTTGAAATGCTTCCTTAGCAAATCAGGAAATATCACAGTGGAGCAATAGGTCCAAAGGGGTAAGACACATGCGGTGATAAATCTCAGAATTAAGTGGCGGAGGACAGAGGAGGATCGCAAACGAAGGGCGTAGAACGAAAGCCTCCTCACCTTTGTAAAAACATCATTAACATGGAGTGACCAGGAAAGATCACGACTGAGTGTTACACCTAGGTACTTCACTGACAATCTGGAGTGCAAATTCTCGCCATCTATGTGAAGTTCGGGGTATTCCATGAGAAGTTGCTGATAACCATGGCCTTTATGTAGGGAGAAAATGACGTTATTGCATTTTGATGCATTCAGTGATAAAAAGTGAGCTCTGGACCATAATACAAGGCTGTCCAGATAGGCTTGTAATTTAGTTGATGAGGCTGCGGTCGGTTGTTGCATACCCAAGACTACGTCGTCTGCATATTTCAGCAATACCGCATCGGCAGGTGCAGGTAAAACGTCAATGTAGGTGGAAAAGTGGTATGGAGATAGTATGCTCCCTTGAAGAATGCCAGTGTCTGTGGTGAGCTGCCAGGAAATTTTACCTCCCATTCGAGTAACCTGGGCACGTCCAGTGAAGTAGTCTCTCAAAAGGTGGACAGTAGAGCTGAATTCCGGCGTTCTGCAGGTCACTCAAAAATAGCTCACGGTTTACACTGCCGAAAGCATTACTGTAATCGAGAGAATACATGCGTAAGGCTTTGACCTTGATGGCTAGCGACGTAGCACTGCATGTACAAGAAAGGCTAATGCGTCTTGAGTAGACTTCAAACTACCATGAGCAAACTGTAGCGGATCATCTGAGTGAGTTTGATTCAGCAACTTTCCAAGAATTATCTTCTCGAATATCTTCAAGTTTACCGAGGTGCAAGCAATTGGTCGGTTGTTATCGGATCCTTACTTTGGCACCCGTGTAATTCTAGCCCTTCCCCAGCAGTCAACAATATTACACTCTTTCATGCACAACTTGTATAGGTCAGCAAGAGTCTGGATCAATGAATCGACACATACTTTAAGGACAACGGATGATAGTCCATCTGGACCATTTGCTTTGTTGCTGTTCAGCTGTAGTAGTTTATTGCGCACTGTATTTCTGTCATTGGAAGGTAAGGAGGTTGTGGGCTGATCCAATCGTGAGGAAGAAGGGTGAGATGTTGTGTTAGCATTGAAGAAACAGAAGTTTCG